GGTTGAAACCGCTGTATGGATGGAGTGAATGTCCCACAACTGTCAGAAATAGACTATTTCTGACAGTTCTGGGACATTCCCTCCATACAGCGGTTGAAACCGCTGTATGGAGTGAATGTACCCACAACAACAGTATGTACTCAACATACCACTGCACACGCGTGAGCTCCAGCAAGATGGCCACTTTGCCGTGAAGCTCCACACCGTGGCTGCCGACAAAGGTCCACTACAACCTTCCCAATGAGTCACCAGGTTTCATGGAGCCGGGGATGCTAGCGGACACCCCTGCTTCTTCCATGGCCATTGGATCAGAGACTCTCCTGGTCTTGCTACAACTTTTGAATTCGGGGACTCCCGAAGTCTGTAAAGAACACTGAATCCGCTGTCTGCTCATTTCTCCAAGATTTGATTTACCTGACCATCGTATGGACCTGGATAAAGCACAGAGGGCTTTGCATGCACCACGTCCTGACGTACTTCCACGTAACATCATGGTTAATCCGTATTTCTATGAAAACTTCTACAGCAGCAGATACTTTATCCATCCAAGGCCATAAAATGCAACTTTTTGCTGATATCTCATCATACACGATTCAGAAGTGTGGAGTCTTGAAACCCTTGCTGCAAGCCCTCACACGCAAAGATGGCAAATATTGGTGGTCATTCCTTCTTTGACTCCATTTTACATACAAGAATAAGTCCTATGCCTTTTCCACATTTTCAGAAATTGCTTCTACACCTGGGACTCATTGCGCTAGAACAGCCAGTGCCTTCATCAAACTAGTGCGGAAGCTGTGCTTAATAATGATTCTCCCAAGCAGATGGACTCTCTTTACTATTATTGTTCATGTTGTGGGCTGGTACAGGCTAGCGCCGGGTTGTATGCATCCACCTCTTACTCTCTGTGCGCTGACAACGTCTGCCTTTGTCCAGACTTCATTTGCCCTTTTGGGCCCTGGCATTACATAGAAATGCATTGCCATATGACTTGTGATGATTAAAGTTCCTCTACTCTCTTCTCTAACCTTTTGATTTTCCTTCCCCCCCCCTCCCCTTACCCTGAAAACCTGGAGAGAAAAAGCATTGACAGACTTGGTTATTCTTCCTTGAACGGGTTGGTTTCCATCCTTCAGGGCCATTATGCCGGCTGGTGGTGAGTAGTAGGCTTTGGGCACTCTGCCTGTTCTCTCTGATAATACATGATGGCGACCCCATAGACCCACTTTGTTGAGAATTTTGTCCCATAATGCTCAGGGACCTAATTCTTCGTTAAACACCTTAAAGCCTTCCAGTATTATCATTCCCAAAGAGCCAATGTATTTTTACAGGGGACACATTTCCCCTCCTCTTATAAACCATCTTTTCTCCATAAACATTTTCCATTGTTTTACAGCACCAATGCTGTAAATAAAGGGCCACACTGGCACCTCTTTGTATACTTTGTTATCCTATTATGCCCCTAATAAAAGCCAGGCCCCTTTCCTTAAGCACTTGTTTCATGCCCTGTCTCAACATTTTGAATGTAATGTCATCTGCAGTGGCGATTAGAATTTAGGTCTGTACCCGACATTGATAAATCCACGCATTAAGATAATCATCTGTGCCATCCCCCTAAAGCAAGTGTTCAGGTTGCTCGTCATCTAAACAATCTGGGGCTTATTGATGTGTGGCGGGAGAAATACCCTCCACGAGGGACTATACTCATTATTCACATCCCCACTAGCTTTACTCCAGGATAGATCGTGTATTTGCTTGCTCCCCCTTATTCCCTTGATTCTTAAAAGTTGCATTTGGGATACAGCCTGGTGTGATCATGCAGTTGTGTCTATATACCTTTTGAGTGTTACTTGCACAAATCGCCCTTTTCTATTGGTGGTTGAATTAATCCATTTTAGGCAACCTGGTCCAGTGCACCGAAACTGGGAAGCATATAGTAAACTATTTTCAGCTTAACATGACTGATTTGGTAACTCCAACTACATACGGCAAAGGGTTAAATAATCCCAATGGCTTCACAGATCAAGCAGGAATGTAGAGTTGACAGAGTTGAGCAGTTGGATTGTGAGTTTGCTCCTTATATGCAGCCAATAAAAGATGCCCCAATAAGGATTTACTCTCTTTCATAGAGGCCACCAGATTATCCCTTAATCTGCTCCTGACCACACGCACAGAGAAAAGCCTACACCGGTCGTCTGTTAAATTCTATATGCAAAAAGAAGGAATAGGCTTTATGCTTGCTGCCAAACTCACCCCTAAAATACGCCAAACGGCACTACCCAAAATTAGATGTTCCTGTGGAATATATACTCAGGATCTACAAAAAGCCCTGAAAGAATTCCATAACTTTTAGAGCAAATTATACCATGCAGCACCCTTTGTGGCCTCAGTTCATCTGCCTTCTTTTCTTCAATCTATCAATCTTCCCAGGCTAGCTGCCTCCCATAGGGAGCTGAAGGACTCACCCATTATGCTTGAAGAAATTCTTCATGCTATTAAACAGGAAAAACGTTCCTCTGCCCCAGGACTGGATGGATTTCCAGCAGTCTATTATCAAATATTTGCACTGACTTTGGCGCCTCATCTTGAGCTGTTCTTCAACTCCCTGAGGTCTGTACAGCTGTTAGATCCCAGAGAGGGTGAAAATTATAGGCCAATCTCACTGATCAATAATGATCTTAAATTGCTCACAAAAATTTTAGCCAATAGACTAGCCTCTTTTATTGTCCAGTATATACAGTGGGGCAAAAAAGTATTTAGTCAGCCACCAATTGTGCAGTTTCTCCCACTTAAAAAGATGAGAGAGGCCTGTAATTGGCATCATAGGTAGACCTCAACTATGAGAGACAAAGTGAGAAAAAAAATCCAGACAATCACATTGGCTGATTTGGAAAGAATTTATTTGCAAATTATGGTGGAAAATAAGTATTTGGTCACCTACAAACAAGCAAGATTTCTATCTCTCACAGACCTGTACCTTCTTCTTTAAGAGGCTCCTCTGTCCTGCACTCATTACCTGTATACACCATGTCTTTCATTATGACCCCATTCATATATTAAGGGGAAGTAGACAGGGGTGCTACATTTCCCTTTTTGATATTTGCTATAGCTATTGAATCCCTGACCATCGCCCTTAGGTCTGATCCTAACATCCAGAGGGTGTCCTGTGACAACCAAATCCATAAATGTGCATTTTTTGCCGACGATTAGCTTTTATTTATAACTTCACCTCTGATTTCCCTACCAAACATACATAAAGTCTTGGATGAGTATGGCAGTTTTGGGACTCAAAATAAATATGTACAAATCTGTAACGTTAAATATTAATCTCACACAGACCTTAGTATCCCAATTGCAGGCTGCATTTCCATTCTCACGGGGAACTGATTTTTGCCCCATACCTAGGAACTAGTCTCACCCCTTCACTAACCACCCTATATAAAGTCAATTATCCACCCTTATATAAAAAGCTTGAGGAAGACCTTAAGGGGTGGACAAACCATGGCCTAACCTGGTTAGGCAAAAAATAACTCCATCAAGCTGACTTTGTTGCCACACCTACTTTACTACTTCCGCTCCCTACCCATATGGATTGTGCTCTCAGATCTGTCCAAATTAAAAAAAAAGTCAGATTTATTTGGGGTAATCAAGGTTATAGACTGTTCAGACAAGTTCTCTTTGTCCACAAGACGAAGACCTTCTGCAATTTGCCCTATATTACCAGGCAGCCCAACTCGCCCAGTTATCGGCTGCTTATTTCTGCAAGGAAAAACCTGAGTGGATAGCTATGGAGAAAGTGGCGGTGCATTCAGTACCCTTAGATTTCGTTAAATGGTATTATCACACTCCTTGGCTGAATGGGACAGGGTGTGGAACAACCGCACCCTTATATCACCTTTTTTCCTTTATCCCATCTTTTTAATAATCTGGCTTTCTCTCTGGCCTTGGACCCAGATGCATTTTGCTGGTGTATCAAGAACGGTCTTTATAGGATAGGCCACTTTTTGACACTTAGGGGACTGTAACGGAACCGGACCCCGACCACACTTGGGTATTTCCGTTAGACTCCAGCTTCCCTGTCCGAATACAAATCCACGGACACCACCGCTGATCATGCAGGAAATAGACAGCACCAGACCCTTCTTAAGACAGGAAGTCAACTGCTTTATTTTAACACAAACACAAGATATATACACAGGGCGGGGAAATACAACCAGGAACAGGAAACACATCATCAGGCCCTCCCATCAGGGGGAAGGGCTGCAGGAACCACCCCCCCCACCAACCCAAGACACACAATAGAACAAAGGGATAACCACATGGCAGGAACACATACATCCCATAATAGTTTGCTGGCAAGCAAGACACAATATAACAATGGGATGCAGCACTTGGCAGTGAACAATGAACAACCCCCACACCCAACCTATACATGTCTGTGGCAGTTAACAATGAACAATCCCCACACCCAACCTATATATACCCAACCTATATATGTCTACACAATATCAGGACAGAGCACCCTGTACCCCCTAATAGGCACAGGGTGCCTTTACACATAGGAGGGATTTGGGGAGATGATACAGGGGTCCCCCCCACCCCCAAAAGTCACTCCCTCACAAAGACCGTTCACCTTACCACATTGCAAATCTAAACTGAGGATGCCCCCTTCGGAGACCTTTCAATTCTACCAAATCTCCCATTTTTTAAAGTCTTTGGGACTATTGGTTTTCTCAAATCCCAAAGCGCCCCCCTATGAACATTGGTGCTCACAGCATGCGGATCAGGATTTCAGTCATCTATAGGCTCCTATTAGACAACACTGATAGACTGCCTTACAAGCGGGACTTAGACCACTGGCACAATTGCTTCCACTCCGCCTACAAGGGTGTTATGAACATTTCTTTGGTAGAGCCAAATGTGAAGGTTTTGACTAGATGGTATATGGTTCTCTCCTGTCTCTCGAGTTCCTCACCACTGTGTTTCTGATGCTATCGCTCCACTGGTACTATGTACCATATTTGGTGGAAATGCCCAAAACTATGGGGCTTTTGGAATAGAGTATTCATTTTAATCAGGCAGGTCTCAGGGGCCCCAATTACCATGTGTAGTTCTACTAAATGAACCAGTTGAGGGGCAGCCCCACTCAAAACAAAGACTGATTTTTCATGTTCCATAGCCCGCTCATAGAAGCGATCTTCCGTTTCGGTCTCTGTGTTTTGGCAAAAGGTGTCCTGGATAATGCTCAACAAACATCTTGCTAGCAATCTTAAGGACACATCAACTCGATTTGGGTACGTCGCTGGTCATCAAATAGTTAAAGTCAAGCGTCAAACACAGGAAAACAACATCTGACAATATGAGCCCTTAGGAATGTGCCTATCACAAAATTATTTTAACTTGACTCAAAATCCATCAGCTCTGGCTGAGCTAACTGGGATGTATCATCAGCGGCTCTTCCGTTTTGGTGTTGAACTCTGTTCTTCCTTTTTTTGCCTTAATTGCCCTTTTCAAAAGTAGCACCTGTAGGCCCCTTTAACATGGGTGCCCTGCATTCCATCTCAGCAGGACACCCTGAATTGATCCTCTGCAAAGTCAGGTTAGAATGGAAACGGATGTGACATCTGTGTGTAGAGATGTGCTGGTTGCTTTAAATTTTAAACAGCAGTTGCAAAGCATTTTTTTCTTTTCCCTCTTTGTGAGTGACAGACAGGGAAAGCAGGACTGTGCTCTGATTGGTTGTTGCTACAGCTGAGAAGGATCCACCCATAGCAGCACTGTTGCAGCTGAACGTATGATTGGCTGTGGAGGAAAGGAGAGAGGAAAAAGGGAAGAAGAAGAAGCACATGTGGGGAGGCAGACATTTTCAGGGGACCACATGGAGCAAGGGCTCCTGGTGTAAAGTCAGATTCTCACTCTCTGTGCTGCTAGAGCCCATGGGCTGGGCTGGGAGTGTGTAGCAGAGAAATTGTTGCAGGAGAACAGTGTGCAAACCAAAGATTGTCCTGCCTGACACTCAGGATTACAGCCACTCAAGTGCATGTGTCTCTCAAAGTTTGGAGCTGCTGAAAGAGAGAGGATTTCTACTGCTGTCTAATGCTATATAGAGGAAAATCCAGAAACAGTGAGTACTCTGTGATGAAAGGGGATTTTGATATTGCTGCATTTGCTGTTCATCTCTGGAGAATGGTCATGAGAAAGCCAGCTGTCTAATTCCCAGAGTGACACAGATCTTGGAAAGCCCAAGCTGCTCAGAATTAGCTATTCCTGCTGCTGATTGATGAGAGAACTCTGTCTCTGTATATTACTGGTTTGTCTCCTCAAAACTTGTGCTGTGGCTGAAGAGTGTGTTTTAGTTCCAAATCCCCACAGAAGCTTGCTGCTCTGAATATACTGAGCAAGTGTCAGTATATCAGGATTTCACCTGTATGGTAAAGATTTTGTTGAAGTGTTACTCCTTGACTTATTATAAGGCCATTATAGATCCTGATCCGCAATCCCCTCCTATGTAGATTTATCTGGTTCTGGGTCACGCTCCATCTCTCACTGACCTTTTACCGACTCCACGATATACTGCTCCTAGATCAGTTAGAGAGCCTTGCCTTTCGAGTGCCCCTCACCCAAAACCGCAACTAGGAATAGCCTTTCATTTATGATATTCATGAGGTAATCCCCTGCAGCCCCCATTTTCCCATCTTGTTATTCATTTTTGTGAATTTCGGACAAATTGTATCATCTAAACATGATGTCTTTCTATCTAACTTGGTCATTGTGATCCTATTGCTATATCTCCTTCATGTTGTATTTTTGATTTGTTTTGTCTTTTTGTTTCCAACAAAAGTTATGGAATAAAAAAGAAAAAGTCTATAAATTCTATCATAGGTGTATTTTAAATGGTAGAGACAGAATATCAACCAAAAACCGGAAAAAAACACATGATACAAATGTTATAAATTGAGTTGCAGTTCAGGGAGTAAAATAAGTATTTGATCCCCAAGCAAAACATGACTTAGTACTTGGTGGAGAAACACTTGTTGGCAAGCACAGAGGTAAGACATTTCTTGTAGTTGGTTACCAGGTTTGCTTACATCTCTGGAGGGATTTTGGTCCACTCTTCTTTACAGATCTTCTCTAAATTCTTAAATTTTCTTGGTTGTTGCTTGGCAACTTGAAGTTTCAGCTCCCACCATACATTTTCTATAGGATTAAGGTCTGGAAACTGGCTAGGCTCTCCAAGACCCTAATGTGCTTCTTCTTGAGCAATTCCTTTGTTGCCTTTGGCAGTATGTTTTGGGTAATTGTCATGCTGGAAGTCCCATCCATGACTGACCCATCTTCAGCGTTCTGGCTGAGGGAAGAAGGATCTCATCCAAGATTTTATAATACGTGGCCCCATCTATCCATTGGCCCCTCAATGCAAAGTCGGCCTGTACCTTTAGCAGAGAAACAGCCCCAAAGCATAATGGTTCCACCTCTGTGCTAAACTGTAGGGATGGTGAACTTAGGGTCACAGTCAGCATTTTTCTTCCTTCAAACACGGTGAATTGAGTTAATGCCTAAGAGCCCACTTTTGGTCTCATCTGACCATAGCACTTTCTCCCAATTCTTCTCTTAATCATTTAGATGTTCATGTCAAACTCCAGACAGGCCTGTACATGTGCCTTCTTGAGGAGGAGGACCTTGTGGGTACTGCAAGATTTCGATTGTGTTACCAATGGTTTGTTTGGTGACTGTGGTCCCAACTGCCTTGAGATCATTCACAAGCTCATCCAGTGTAGTTCTGGGCTGATTCCTCTTTTTTTCATGAGCATCTTTACCCCATGAGGCGAAATCTTGCATGGAGCACCAGACTGGGGGCAATTGATGGTTATTTTGTATTTCTGCTATTTGTGAATAATAAATCTAACAGTTGTCTCCTTCTCACCAAGCTTCCTGCTGATGGTCTTGTAGCCCATTCCAGCCTTGTGCAGGTCTACAATCTTGTCCCTGATGTCCTTTTGACAGCTCTTTGGTCTTGCCCATGGTGGTGCCCAGGAAAGAGACACTGTGAACAGGTGTCTTTTATACACATAACAAGTTGACATTAGTAGCACCTACTAAAATTGACAGAACTTATCTGTGTACCACATGAGCACATAGCTAGTCTGTGGGAGGCAGAATTATTGTTGGTTATGAGGGGATCAAATACTTATTTTACTTACTGAACTGCAACTCATTTTATAACATTTGTATCGTGTTTTTTCTGGATTTTTGGTTGATATTTTGTCACTATCATTTAAAATACACCTATGATAATAAATTATAGATTCTTCATTTCTTTGTAAGTGGGCAAACTTACAAAATCTGCAGGGTATCAAATAATTATTTTCCCCACTGTATATTCGCATCTATCTGCCTATATCCACATCTACACACGTCTTCAATAGTGTTTGGTCTCATAAGCCTGAACAAAACTGGAAGTAAATAGACATACATCTGTTTAAGCCTGGACACCCATAGAGATACATTGCAGCCCATTTATTATTCTTGTAATGGTGGATCAACAATGGACTGAAGAAACACCAATGTGAAAGGATCCTTTGAGGGTGTGTCGATGAGCTTTGTTGATGGCATTAGCAATAATGTTTCTGGGATCATTCAGAATTAATTTTACAGGTACATTCGACCTGCAGTTCTGCCTTGCTTTAAGTGGGTTTTGCATTCCCAAACTTGTATGGGAATGCAAAAACCCACTTGAAGCAAACAGAACCTGTTGACACAGACACTTAAAGCCCAGTCTAAGGAAAATGAAAAGTTCTCCCTTCCAGTGTTGTTGCATTTGCACAGCAAGGGTTAACTGCTAGTTTAAAGGTGTGGTTCATCCTTACCAAAAAAGTGTCTACAGATAAGGGCACTTGTAGATAAAAATAAACTGTACAGCTTTGACCAAAGTTGAATCATGCCCTTGCTATAAGTGTAGGCCATTTAGTACCTCCTGAAGTCTCTCTCTCTCTGAGACTGCATCACCCTGTCCTGCCTTGTTGCTAAGCTGTAAATGTTCACCTCCACCATCACAGGAGTGAGCTCTTTCTCTGATTCAAACCCCTTCTCTCCCCTGACACAGTAGTTCTCAGCTCAGTATTTGAGATGAGGTGTACAGGGTTCCCCCACCACCAAGGAATGCAGAAGAGTATCCAAGGGGACCCCTCCATCCCATCCAGGAATACAGACCCCACTATGATAGGAGACCTCTGAACAGGAGGAGTGCATGGGCATAACATTCAGGAATACGGACAAGAATAGGGGACTCCCATCCAGGAATACAGACACCACTATGATAGAAGGAGACCTCTGAACAGATGAAGTGCATGGGTGTAGAATTCAGGGATACAGACAAGTATAGGGGGATCCCCATCCAGGAATACAGGAACCACTCTCCAGTTAAAGAAGATTCTCGGACAGAAGGAATGCAGCGGGGTGATAAGAGGGGACTCAAATACAGACCCCCTCAAACAGAACCCCTGCCAGGAGGAGTGCAGGCAGCCACCCCTTTCCCCTGCTGGAGCAGGCAAATGAGGGCAGTAAAAGCACATGTATGAGCCATGTTTTTACCACTCACTTCCCCTTAAGCTGTAAAGCTAGCAGATGGAGGTGTACACAAGCAAAGGCTGCAATGCTTTGCACTGCACTTACTCCTTCACAGTATTTATGGGGAAGCAACATAGCCACCCTTGAACAGCAACATTGTAAACCTGTGGAGAGGGTGGTAATCAATGAACTAGTAGATTTAGATGGGCTTTACATGAGTGACTATCAAGTTAAAGCCTAATTACAGTTAACACTTTTTTAACCGCCTCCCGCCCACCATATAAGGTAATGACGGGCGCAAGTTGGTTCTCTTGTTCTGGGAGGATGTCATATGACGTCCTCCCACTTTAACCCTGTGTGCGCGCCCCCCGTTTGCGCTCAGCCCGGCGATCGGTGGTGCGCTGTGTCCCTGGGACACAGTGGATCACCGATCAACGGAAAGAGCCGATGACGTCGGCTCTGTCATGTGATCAGCTGTGTCCAGTCACT